TATTTATTTATTTATTTAAAATCTTTTTTGTCTCTTTTTGTCTCTGCCATTTCAAGTGTCTCCTTTTGTCTCTTTTGCTGCTGCTCGCAGCGCCTTAGTAGCAAAGACATCTGCAGGAACTTTTGACGTAAGCTGCTGCTGCTGTTGCTGCTGCTGCTGCTGCTGCTGTTGCTGCTGCTGCTGCTGCTGGTGCTGCTGTTGCTGCTGCTGGTGCTGCTGTTGCTGCTGCTGCCGGCGCTGCACCCGGTCCCCTGGGGTCCGTGCTGCTGCTGCTTCTGCTGCTGTTGCTGTGCTGCTGCTGCTGCTACAGCTGCTGCTGCTGCTGCTGCTGCTGCTGCTGCTTCTCAGCAACCCTACGAGGCTTTTATCCCTGAGGAGCCCTTCGAAGGCAAAGTGCGTGCTGCTGCACTGCAGCAACTGCAGCAACAGCAGCAGCAGAAACAGCAGCAACAGCAGCAACAGCGGCAACAGCAGCAACAGCAGCAGCAGCAGCAGCAGCAGCATGCACTCATGCAGTTCTGCATATATGGAGTATTTCTGGGAATGAAATAAATAAAAATGGAAAATAAAAGTCAAGTGTAAAGCTGCAAAAATAAAACACTATGGCTTTCATCTTTTTGCTGCTGCTGTGGGGTGCTGCTGCTGCTGCTGCTGCTGCTGCTGCTGCTGCTGCTGCTGCTGCTGCTGCAGAAGGAGAAGGAGACAGCGCCTGTGGTGTCTGTCCAGCCCATTGCTGCCTTTTTGAAGGAGCTGCAGCAGCAGCACCCCACAGCTGTTATAAACCAGCAGCAGCAAAGAGCAATTGAAAAAGCAAATGAAGCAAATAGAGCAGCAAACGCCAGCAGCAGCAGCAGCAGCAGCAGCGGCAAAGCCAAAGAAGTCCGAATGGTGAGCCAGCAGCAGCAGCCGCAGCAGCAGCAGCAGCAGCGGTAGCAGAGCAGCAGCAGCAAAAATGGCAGCAGCAGCAGCAGCTAAAGTCGCAGAAGCAGCAGACCAGCAGCACTTGAAGCAACGCGAGCCAGAGCTGCAGCAGCAGCAGCAGCAGCAGCAGCAGCAGTAGCTGCAGCTAAAGCAGCAGCAGCAGCAGTTGAAGCAGCCCGACGTGTTTCTGTGGGGTTTAGTGTCTCCTTTTGTCCCCTTTTTCTTTTTGTGTCTTTTTTGTCTTTTAATTTATATTTTAATTTATATTTTAATTTATATTTTAATTTATATTTTAATTTAATTTAATTTAATTTAATTTAAATTTAATTTAAATTTAATTTAATTTGCTTTTTGTCTTTTTTTATTTTCCAGAACTTGTCCACAGGAAGCTCCAGCGGGGAAGGTGTCTCCTTGGAGCTGCGGCGGAATTCCTCAGCAGCAGCAGCAGCAGCAGCAGCAGCAGCAGCAGCAGCAAACTCTCCTGCTGCAGCAGCAGCAGCAGCAGCAAACAGACAAGGCTCTTCCAAAAACCCCGAGGGACAATCGGAGACAGGATCTTTGCAGCATTTCTTTCAGGGACTTATGGCAAAAAGTAATTATTTATTATTTTATTTTTTTATTATTTAATTATTTAATTATTTAATTATTTATTTGTTTATTTGTTTATTTATTCATTAATTTAATTATTCATTAATTTAATTAATTATTTATTTATTTATTTATTTATTTAACTTTATTTATTTATTCAATTTATGTAATTTGTTTAATTTATTTAATTTGACTAATTCAGTGTAGTTAGTTTGTTTAATTAGTTTGGTTTATTAGACATCAATTTAATTGATTAAATCAATTTAATTTAATTAATCGAATCAATTAAATTTAATTCATTAAATCAATTCAATTTAATTAATTAAATCAATTTAATTTAATTAATCAAATTAATTTAATTAAATTAATTAAATCACTTCAATTTAACCAATTAAATCAATTTAGTTTAATCAAATGAATTTAATTTAGTTAATTAAATCACTTCAATTTAACTAATTAAATCAATTTAATTTAATTTGTTTATTTAATTGTATTGATTTAATTAATTAAATTAAATTAATTAATTCATTTACTTCATTTAAAAACTTTTTTTAATTTAATTTTTTGTTTTTGAAGAACTGAAGGTCTCCGTCTCCTTTGTCTCCTTTTTTCTTTTTTATTTTTTTGAGTTCTTTTAAAACCATCTCCTTTCTAAACGAAGTGCCAATTAAACAAAAATAATTAAATCAAATCAAATAAATAAATAAAACAAAATAAAATAAATAAAATAAAATAAATAAAATAAAATAAATAAAATAAAATAAAATAAATAAATAAAACTAAAAAGTGTCTCCTTTTGAAAAGTGTCTCCTCAGGCCGGGCCCGTCCCCCTCCAACTCCGCGGGAGCGTTTGAGGCCGAAGACTCCAGCGGAGGGAAATTAAAAAAAATAAAAAAAAATAAAATAAAATAAATAAAATAAATAAATAAAATAAATAAATAAAATAAATAAAATAAAATAAATAAAATAAAATAAAATAAATGAGTTTAATTGGTTGAATTAAATGCGTCAAGTTGGTTCAACTCCGTGGAGTTTATTTTATTTATTTATTTATTTATTTATTTATTTTATTTTTTATTTTTTATTTTAATTTCTTTTTTCTTTTTGTTCCTTCAAAACAATTTTCCTTTTCAAAACCACAAAGTGTCTCCTTTTTGCTGTCTCCTTTTTGCTTTTTATTTTCTTTTTTGTCTCCTTTTTATTTCGTTTTATTTTATTTTTGTCTCTTTTTATTTCATTTCTTGTCTCCTTTTATTTCATCTTTATCTTCTCTTTTATTTCATTTTTATTTTCTTTTTGTCTCTTTTTATTTCATTTTTGTCTCCTTTTATTTCATATTAATTATCTCATTGTCTCCTTTTGTTGCATTCTCTTTTTATTTCATTTTTTTGTCTCTTTTTAATTCTTTTTTGTCTCCTTTTTATTTCATTTTTACTATCTTATTGTCTCCTTTTTATTTCGTTTTATCATCTTTTTGTCTCCTTTTTATTTCATTTTTGTCTCCTTTTATTTCAGCTAGCTAAGTTGGCAGTAGCAAGCAAGTTGGGCAGCTAGCTAGCTAGCTGTTAAGCAGCTGGTCAAGTGGCTAGCTGGCTAGCTAGCTAGGTCACTCTTGAGCAGCTAGCTAGCTAGCTAGCTAGCTAGCTAGCTAGCTAGCTAGCTAGCTATGTAACGGCTAAGCCAGCTAGCTATCTAGCTGGCTAGCTAGCTTGGTAACTGCTAGGAGGCCAGCTAGCTAGCCGGCTAGCTAGGTCCCTGTTAAGCAGCAGCTAGCCAGCTAGCTATCTAGCTGCTGCTGGGCATTCCTAGCTAGCTAGCTGGCTAGCTAGCTAGCTAGCTAGCTAGCTAGCCAGCTAGCTAGCTAGCCAGCTGGGGACGGCCAAAAGGCGTTGCAGCTAAGGAGCCATTCAGCAGCAAATCTTGGCTAGCTAGCTAGCTAGCTAGCTGCCCAGTTAGCTAGCTAGCTAAATAACTAGCTAGCTAGCTAACTAACTAACTAGCTGGCTAACTAGCTGGCTAGCTAGCTACCTAACTGGCTAGCTAGCTAGCTAGCTAGCTAGCTAGCTCGGTGGCTAGCTGTCTCTGGTCCACTGGCGTGCTGCTTTGAAGCAGTTCAAGCAAAGGAATTTATTCTCCAAAGTCTCCGCGTGGCTAGCTGCCCCCGTGGGCCTCCATGTAGCTAGCTAGCTAGCTAGCTAGCCAGCTAGCTGGTTAGCTAGCTATAGCTAGCTAGCTAGCTGGCCAGCTAGCTGGTTAGCTAGCTGTAGCTAGCTAGCTAGCTGGCCAGCTGCCTGGCTAGCTGGCTGTGGGTGGCTAACTGGCTAGCTATAGGCAGCTAACTGGCCCAGCTAGCCATCTAGCTGGCTAGCTGGCTAGCTAGCTAGCTAGCCAGCTAGCTAGCCAACTAGCTTGCCTCCTCGGGAAGGGGACAAACAAATCGGAAAAGAGACAAAAAGAGAAAAGGAGACAAATAAAGAGAGACAAATAAATGGCAAAGAAAAGAAAAAAGAAAAAAAGAAAAAAGAGACTTTGAGGAGATAAAAAAGCAAAAAGAAACAAAGTGCCAAAAGGAGACAAAAAGAAATTAAAATTAAAATTAAAATTAAGAAAATAAAAAAGAAAATAAAATAAAATTAAATTAAAATAAAAATAAAAAGAAATGTCAAGAGGGAGATAGCGCTCAGGTGTCTCTCCAGCTTTTTCTTTTATTTTTTTTATTCTTTTATTTTTATTTTTATTTTTTATTTTTATTTTTTTATTTTATTTTTTTAATTTTATTTTTGTCTCCTTTTTAGACAAATTAAGTTGCCACTGTCTCCCTTTAGTGTTTCTTCAATTTTCTTTTTTAATTTTTTCTTTTTAATTTCTTTTTAATTTCTTTTTAATATTTTAATTTCTTTTTTTTGATTTAATTTTAATTTCTTTTTAATTTCTTTTTAATTTCTTTTTTCACTGTCTCCTTTGAGGCCCAAGTGTCTCCTTAAAGTTCATTTTATCAAATCCAATTTGTCTCCTTTTCCAGTTTGCTGCTGCTGCTTCCATTCTCCCGGGCCCTTCACGCTGCAGCAGCAACTGCAGCAGCAGCAGCAGCAGCAGCAACTGCAGCAGCAGCAACAGCAGCAGCAGCAGACTGGTCCACTGCGTGAATGAAAAGGATTTGTTTTGTTCGTGGTAGAATCCGTAGGCAATGGCGCAGCTGCTGCAGCAGCTGCAGCAGCTGCAGCAGCAGCTGCTGCTGCTGCAGCAACTGCTGCAGCAGCAGCAGCAGCAGCAGCAGGTTTGCAGGAACTTCATTCGTAGTAGAATCCGTAGGCAATGGCGCAGCAAAGAATGTCTTTGGCTGCAACAGCAACGGAGGCCCAGCAGCAGCTGCTGCAGCAGCAGCAACAGCAGCTGCTGCTGCTGCTGCAGCAGCAGCAGCAGCAGCAGCAGAGTTCATTCGTGGTAGAATCCGTAGGCAACGGCGCAGCAAAGAATGTCTTTTGCTGCAA